GATTCAGTTTGTATCCACAATAAGGAGTTAGTTATTGATTTTTTTCTCCCATTATTCACCATCAATTCAGTTATACATCCTAGCTACTTTCCTTAGAAGTTAAATTGTGTGTGTGTGTGTGTGTGTGTGTGTGTGTGTGTGTGTGTGTAATTTCAGAGTCTTTTTCAGTCAACAATGATTTTGTGACTTCTATAGCTAATCCCAAATACATAACAGGCATTATAATCCTTCCTTCTTCAACATCCCATCTTAGAACTCCTTTACTTTGTTAAGCAGCGCGGCTGATCTGTGTTGCTTCATTGGTGAAGGCAAACCAAACCTTTAATCCTTTGCCATTTTGACTTCTCCTTGTTAGTTTGTGCTTGTTATGATTGTCCCAAGATAATCCAGGGTTTATGGAATACTCTTCCCTGATGGCACCAAATGTCCCCATCCTGGCCTTTGATGTTAGATGGTGTCAATAATCTCCATCATAAAGAAAGTCCTCTCTACAGCTGTCTATTTCTATGGAGAAGAAGCCTAAAAGGGCTAGATAAGTGCCAGAAGTTCTCATTCATTGCAACTTTTCTTGCATTTCTTGTAACCTTCCATTACCACCTTAAACTCAAAAATAAAGATTTTCAATGGGAACATTTAAAATATAAGATTATGGAGTATAAGACTGACGAGTGAATTAGTGGGGCATGAGTGAGAGGCCAATTCTGCATTTATCCAAAAGCTTTTAGACATTCATGCTCTTAGTGATAGTAATCTGTGATGCCATATAATCAAAGCATATGTTGGATCATTGAAAACAATGCTTCAGTTCTACCTGCTGTCACCTCCAAATCACCCTCATATTCTATATCATATCTGTATTATAGAATATATATTAGAAAAACATTTTTCATTTCTAGAAGTCAAGGTTAACAGTTATGAAGATGCACTGGCTCATTTACAGTCCAGAAAGTGACTGAGTACTGTTATCCTTCCTGCAGAGAGGGCCCTGGAACTGAATTGGATCCCCTGGAACTGGAGTTAAAGATAGTTGTTAGACACCATGTACAGGCTGGGAACCAAACCAGTGTCATTAGCAAAAGCAGTCAGTGCTCTTAACCTCTTAATTGATAGGCCATCCTTCCAGTCCCAATATTGACAAAATTTCTTGAGGAGAAACTTACAAAGAAGCAGTTACTGACAAAAAGTAATTTGGAGGGGGCTGGAGAGATGGCTCAGCAGTTAAGAACACTGGTTGTTCTTGCAGAAAACCTAGGTTCAAATCCCAGCACCCACATGGCAGCTAACAACTGTCTGTAACTGCAGTTCCAGGGGATCTGATGGCCTCTTCTGTCCTCAGTGGGCATTGCATGACACAAGCACACTTAAATACATGCAGGTAATACACTCATACACATAAAATAAAAATAAATAAAATATATTTTAAGTTTTTTGAAAAGTATTTGGAGAGTGTAAACACAGTGAACATATTGTTCTTTAGCTGGTTATTGTGGATATTTTGAGAATCATAAAGTGCTAATTATAACAAACTACACTTATTCTGTAGCTTGTTAATGTGAGCTTAGTGATGTGCATAAAGGTGAACAACTTTTATATAAACATTATGTACTAATTTTCTTTCACATTTTGCTGGCTGTCCTAGTTTGCTTCTCCATTGCTGTGACAAAATGCCCTGACCAATACCAACTTGGGGAGGAAAGGGTTTATTTGTCTTACATGTCCAGGTCACGTTCATCAGGGGGCCCAAAGTAGGAACTCAAGGTAGGAACCTGGAGGCAGGAGCTGGACCACAGGCCATGGAAGGACACTGCTTACTGGCTTGCTCCCTGGCCCCTGCTTGGTCTGCTTTCTTATGCAACACAGGCCCACCTCCCCAGGGGTGGCACCACCCACAGTGGGCTGGGCCCTCCCACATCACTCATCAAGAAGATGACCCTCAGACATGGCCACAGGCCAGTCCAATAGAGGAAATTCCCCAATTGAGGCTCCCTCAACCCAGGTGTGTCAAGTTGACACTAAAGCTATCCAGCACAATTGACCCCTTGTCAACCTGACACACAAACACATCTCTATTAAACCATAAGCTTTCCAATTCTTGTCCCCAAAACATGATGTTAACAGTAATATCATAACAGAAGATGATAATATTACGTAAAAACCCCACAGTCCTTAAAATAAATCCAAACACTTAAAAGTTCATAGTCTCTTTTAATAGTCTCTTAACTGTGGGCTTCTGTAAAATCCAAAACAAGTACTGTCTTATTTCAAAGGGAAGAATAGGGCACACCTAAGCAAAACCAAAGTCCAGAAAGGAGCTCAAGGCTGGATATCTGGGATTAACAGTCTTCTGGCCTCCAGAGGGTTCTGGCAGCTCCACTTCTCTGACTCTGCCATCCACAGCACAAACAGCTCGTCTCACAGACCCAGGCCAGCACCATTCCACACTTACTGTGGTCCTTGGTCGTCTCACGTTCCTGGCATCTCCAAAAAGCTGGGTCTCTACTGAAACTGAGGCTACACCTTCACCAATGGCCTTTTCTTGCCTCTCTGGGTGCAAAGCCTCAGATTCTCTCCATGACACCATCAATACTGGGGTCTTAATTGCAACTGAAGCTGCACTTTAGCCTATGGCCATTCCTGCCCGCTCAGAGTGCTCTCAGCTGCTCGCTGTGACCCCTTCACACTTTCAACAGCAGAATCATGCAGGAGACTCTTACACATTACCAAATCCTGCTTTCAGTTAGAGGTGGAGGTTCAGGTCCTCTCTGTGTGCTGATTCTGAGGAAATAACCCCCCAGAAGATTTCACCATGATGATGCTTGTATCTTGTTACATACAGATGATTTTTCAGCCCCAGCAAACCAGCATCAGTTGTCCCAGTAGAGCAAAGGTTTTACTCCAGGTTCTGGTCTCTACTTAATCACAGCTGATTCTTCAGCCCCAGCTGACCAGAACCCATAGATTCTTAATTCAAAATCTCACACGAACAGCCCTGATAGTCTCCGCTTCCCTTTGAAGCTTCACAAGCCAATACTCAATCGTCTACCACTCTTTCAGCAGAACTGTTTCAAGTTCTGAGCACCCTATGACTTTTCCAGCCCAAAGTTCCAAACACTTGTACAATCCTCCTAAAAAAAAGTTAAGGTCAGGTCTGTCACAGCAATATCCCACTCTCTGGTACCAATTTCTGTCCTAGTTTGCTTCTCCATTGCTGTGACAAAACATGCTTACCAATACCAACGTGGGGAGGAAAGGATTTATTTGTCTTAGGTCTCCAGGTCACAGTTCATCAGGGTACCCAAGGTAGGAACTCAGGGCAGGAACTTGGAGGCAGGAGCTGGAGCACAGGCCATGGAGGGACACTGCTTACTGGCTTGCTCCCCTGGCCCCTGCTCAGCCTGCTTTCTATGCAACACTCAACAGTCAAGCAGGTGCCCCATGGACATGGCTACAGCCCAGTCCAATGAAGGCAGTTCCCCAGTTGAGGCTCCCTCAACCTAGGTGTGTCAAGTTGACACTAAAGCTATACAGTACACTGGCTTATATAATTAAGATGCTATTTTGCATTTACTTCTGAAATATTTTCTCAAAAAAAGTGATTTTAGCAAATTATATTTCTTATAAATTTGAACCAGCTCACCGATATTCTTATAATTATGCAATTACAATTATTTTAATATAATTTTCATTGAACTTTTTCAATTTCCATACAATATTTGTTTGATGATATTTAGATCACCTACCTTTCTGCACCTCTCCCCCCTTGATCCCTGCTCAATTTAATGTATGTTCATATATATATGTATATATGTATATATATGCATATTTCTATAGAGTCTGATTTGTGTTCCCAAACGTCCTTTAGTGTGGATCTATCTATTGGCCTACCAAGACTCGCATTCAAGCAAGACACTGTCTCTCCCTCTCCCAACAGCCATCAATTGCCAAAAGTTCACTAGGTTGGGTTCGGATTTGTTATCCCTTCCCCATGTCTATGCATGTATTTTGTCTGGTTTGAGCTTGCATGGAATTTGTGCATGCTGTCACCAACTCTGTGAGTTCATATAAATAACTGGCCAGCTGTCTAGAAGGCTCTGTTTCCTTGTAGTCTTCTAACTCCTCTGGCTCTTTGATGTTGATATAGTTAGAAAACTGTGTATATAAGAACTAAAACTGAGGCTAGAAAGATGTCTCAGCAGTTGCTGCTCTTTCAAAGATCCGAGTTTGGTACTCAGCACCCACAACAGGCAACTTACAGCCACCTATAACTCTAACTCTGTGATCTGATGCCCACTTCTATCCTCCATAGGCACACACACACACACACACACACACACACACACACACAAATAAAATATTTTTATAAAACAACATGAAATATTTTTTAAAATAATATAAATATTACTTCTCATATTGTTATATTATGGCTAGCTGGACAGGAGATGTTTTGTAGGTTCTTCTTTGGCCGTGAAGTATTCATCTGATCTACCTTTATGAAAAGAAATTTTAGATAAGATAGCATATAATATGCTTTCATGATACAACTTGGTAAAAGGTAAGAGTCAAGATAAAAGAATATACTTTATTTTTATGAGAAAACGACCTGAAGAAAAAATCTCTTAAATAAATAGTTAATTAAAGGTATTGGATCTTTGAACTGGTGTAAAATTCCAAATCTACTACATTCTATTAAAAAAAAAAAAAAAAAACAGAACTGGGAAAAAGGGTGCACTTTAATAGGGTAGTAAGGAGGGTGGTTAGACAGGGAGAGAAGAAAGACACAAGGAGCTTAGGCAGTGTGAAAAACCAGAGGGAAATGTATTAACTCAGAAACAACATGAAAAATACACATACATTATATGAACATGAGTACATGTGCATACATGTAGAATATATACAAGAAACACAGTGCCAGGCAGGAGAAAGCTCCCTTTGAGTTGTTGATCAGGGTAGTCCAAGAGACTCCCAAAATAACACAGGCTATTGCCACAGCCCTTAATTACCTCTCAGAACTTGAACATAAGGCTCTCTTGCTGAATACATGACAGACACAGGACTTGGAGCAATGGAGCTGGAACTGACCTGGAAGCCTTCTCCATGAAGATTAGATCTCAGAATTTCAAAATTTTCTATGAAAGCTGCTGAGAGAGAAATTCAATCAATGGTTCAACACAATGACTGGCACAACAAACTATAGGAGTACAGTAGTGACACTTTAATCCTAGCGTAATCAACAGCTATCTAAGTGAATTTAAAGCCCTCTCAATAGGAGGGAACTCGTGGGTGGCACTGTAAACTTAGCCAAATATACATAGATGGAGAGGTTATAGGTCCTAGGGAGTACCACAACTCTGTCACATCTGTAGAAAATGAAATTTCTTATTGTTTGCCAAATATGGATTCTTATATTTACAGACAAGTATATATACACTATACACCACTCATCAAAGAATCTTTTTTACAACAAATGGAGGGTATTACAGAGTTCCACAACTGGACACACACACACACACACATCTACAGGAGAACCTTTACCCCTAAGACTCACTGAACATATTAGAGCAGGAGGTTAGTGAGAACTCTAATACAACCCTCAACTCTCACCATCGAAGCTTCCTTATGAACAGAATGTGATGCACACAGAATGTCACAACTGGCCAAGGTGTAGAGAATAAGACACTGCAGAGTATGTGTCCCTGGGGGCAGAAAGATTGTAAGAGTCAGGGTCTGCGCCTGAACATAAGGAAACAGAGGCTTTCAGCTCTCTGAGAACTTCCTCATATAAACTTGCAGCAATGGTGACAGCATGCACAAGACCCATGCTTACTAAGTCAGACAAAAACCCAGCATAGAACTGGGGAAATAAGCAGCAGACCACAACCTTAGCAGAAAAACCATTAGCAACTAATTTCTTTGGATGAGGGAGTGAAGGGAACCAAATTGCATAAAGAGAAGAGATTGGGCAACATAGAGTTAACTGGACAAGCTGCATTGGAAGGCCACAAGCGAGTTGTAGGAATGCCACAGAGTTCCTTACACACAAGGAATTGTGTGGAGGTGTCAGCCAGCAAGCACACTGACCAACACAGAAAGTAGCAGACAAGAACAAATTATAATAAAAAAGAGCTGCTATCATCAGCTGTTTAAAGAGATATCTAAAATGGCTGAAGTTATGGATCTGGTAGATCAGAAACAAACTGCTGTCCCAAATGCTCCCCCTCCTGAGAATCCATATTCATACAAACCAAAAAGGGTAAAAAATATATCATTATCTTTAATGCAAAAAATGAAAGAACAGGAAAGGTCAGGTGAAAGAAAACAGTTATTCCTGGTTACTCAGCAACCACCCAATGAACAATATTTTGAAGGATATTTTTATCTACACCCATAACCCAGTAACCTATAAAACTTTGGAAGAATTGAAAAAGCAGTGGTGACTTATGGTATTCATTCTCCTTATTGTAGAGGGCTCTTGCAGGGCTTAGCCTTAGAGTTGCAATTAATCCTTTATGATTGGGAAGCGCCAGCAAAAACAGTATTGGAAGCTGGAGCATATTTACAATTTATAACTTGGTGGCAGGATGAAGCTACAGAAATGGCAAGAAAGAAATCAAAGAAATACTGCTAATATTGGTGCAAACCAATTAACAGGGTTTGGCACATGGGTAGGAGTTGAGAGAAAGTTACAATACGATGATGTGACCATTGTATAATTTTGATTATGCTGTTTAAAAGCTTGGGCTATAGTAGAGGCTCCAGGTCATACTGCATGATCCTTTACTAAAATGGTGCTGTCTCCTATAGAGTATACTGATTTCTTATCTAGACTCCAGGCAGCCATAAACAAAGCTATCTCTCAACCTGATGTACAAGATATTTTGCTTCAACCCTTAGCCTTTGAAAATGCTAACGCTAAATGTCAGAAGGTCTTAAGACCATTGTGGGCTCAAGGAGCACCGTTACAGAATTATGTTAAAGCTCGTATTGATATTGGATCTGATTCTTACAAAGCTAATCTATTGGCATCTGCTTTAAAATTTGAAATACAGACAGGATGAACAGAATGTTTTAGCTGTGGAAAATTCGGAAATGTGAGGAAGGACTATTGAATGGACAGAGAGAAATAAGAGGGGAAGAAAAAAGAAGGACACCTGCATTGTATCCCTACCTTCAAAAAAGGATATCATTGGGGAAATCAACATAGATAAAAATGCGGTAAAGGCAATCCTCTCAGTTCTGGAAATGGGCCAGACCTGGGGTTGAACATAAATAATAAAAGTCAGTTGATACAACAATATCCAGTCAGCAATGGACCAATGCACCAAAACAGTTAATCTCAGACATTATATATGTAACCAGATGTAGTACAGCCGTTCACATAGATGTGCCTGATAATTTGCTGTTAAGCCAGCTTTAGTAGTCTATAAGATTCGGACAGGAATTTATGGACCTTTGCCAGAGGGGACAGTAGGATTATTAACAGGAAGGGGTAGTTTAACTCTTCAAGGACTTCATGTTCATTTACTCATTATAGATTCTGATTTCACAGAAGAAATTAATATCATGGCATCTGTAACTAAACCTTTTAGAATTTTAGTGGACAAAGAGTAGCACAATTGCTAATCTTGACCTACATCAAAGGAAATGCAACCCCTGTTAAAAGAAAAGAAGGTTTTGGAAGTACAGGTAAAAATATTTATTGGCAGACATTTTTATATGATTCTAGACCTATTATGAAAATTGCTATTAGAGGTTTGGAATTTGAAGGACTGGTAGATACTGGTGAAGATGTGTCTGTAATTGCTCAGTCCCTGTGGCCAAGGAATGGTCTAAAAGGGCTGTTCAAGCAACTTTTATAGGTACAAAAACTCTTTCAGAAACTTATCAAAGTAATAAGGAAATAAAATGTTGGGACCAAAAGATCAAGTGCCATATCTTAACATTTATATAGGAGATACAGGGATTAATTTTTGGGGTAGAGATCTTTCACAACAATGGGGGCATCTTTATTCCCACAATATTTAAATTTGAAAAAATATGATGAATATGAATTATGACCTTATGAAAGGATTAGGGAAACATGAACAAGGAAGAAAAAACATCAAATTAAACAGATAAGTTTAAATTTTAACAAACAAAGCTTAGGCTATCCAAATTCATAATGGTGGCTAGTAAGGCAAGCTATGCCCTTTTATTAACATGGAAAACTCAACAATCTATGTGGGTGGAACAGTGGCCATTAACACAGGAAAGTCTTTCTTCCCTTCATCAAATTATCAAAGAGCAATTAGACACAGACCACACTGAACCGTCCTCTAGTCCTTGGAATTCCCTTGTGTTTGTTTTATAAAAGAAATCAGGAAAATGGAGGATATTAACAGATTTAAGAAAAATGAATGCAATAATTCAGCCTATGGGAGCTCTGCAGCTTGGACTGTCACAGCACGGCCCAGAGATTGGAATCGTATAATAGTAGATTTGAAAGACTATTTTTCCACAATTCCTTTGCAACCACAAGATAGAGAAAAATGTGCTTTTATTATTCCTTCATATAATAATGAAAAGCCTACTGAAAGATATCAATGGAAAGTTCTCCCTCAAGGAATGTTAAATATCCCTTTTAGGTGCCAGAGCTTTGTTAGTATGCCATTGGATGTAGTTAGAAAAAAATACAGTAAAGGAATGGTCATTCATTAAATGGATGATAGTCTTTTCACTGCTCTTATGCCCATGTATTTAGAAGAAATGTATCAATTTTCAGAAAAACAATTGCAAATATATGGACTAGAAATACCTCCATAAAAGGTGCAGAGAAACTTTCCACACAAATAATTAGGTAATATGATAAAAAAAAACACTAAAATTAGGCCACAAAAATAGCTATAATAAGATATCAACTAACCATCCTAAATGACTTTCAAAAATTATTAGGAGATATAAGTTGTCTGTGCCCCTCTTTGGAGATATCTACATATGCCTTAACTCATTTATTTAATACTTTAATGGGAGATAGCAAACTAGTCAGTCCTAGGCAACTAAGGAAGCAAAAAAAATAAAAAAATAAAAAAGAACTTGAATGGATAGGATAACACATTTCAACAAGGATACTCCTGACAGGATAGATTTACAAAAAGAAAATTCTTTAATTGTTTTTTCCTTCAAAACAGTCTCCTGGATTGTTATCAGGACCCCTGATACTATTATTGAGTGGATTTTTCTCCCTAATAAAGAAAATAAAAGACTAACAACTTACATAGAGAAAATTGCTAAATTGATATATAAAGGGAGAATCAGGCTCAGATAGCTTAGAGCACAAGATCCTGACACCATTATGGTGCCATTAACTACTTATGAGCAAAAATGATTATGGTCAATAAATGAAGACTGGCAAATAGCTCTTAGTCATTATTTTGGAGTACTATACAACGTTACCCACAGAATTAAAGAATTTCTTTGCTAAACCATACCAAAATTATATTAGATAAAATCACATCTGAACATCATTTTATCAATGCTAAAACTTATTATGCAAATGCAAATAAAACAGGAATGGCTGGATTTACTAATGAGATTATTTAAAAAATTATTCAAACCCCTTACCATTCTGTACAAAAAGTAAAGATGGCAGCGGTTATTTTGTTGTTATCCTCAATAGATGATGGAATTAATACAATTACTGATTCTCAATACATGGAATATACCCTTAAAAATATATATATTTGGTCAGAGAAGCCTCATTTTTTTTTCTTTTTTTAATTGAGCTTTTTAAATTTCATACATTTCCCACTCAATCCAAACCCCTCCCCCATACACGCCCCACATCCCCCCACCAAACTCTATGCACTCTGACACACATGCCAAGCCCTATTCATTCAGATGTTTACACTCAAGTGTCTTTCGGTGTGAATGCATCCACTGGAACCCAGTCAACCCATTCAGTGGTCGCATGAAAGTCATACTCTCTCTCACCCACCAGCAACCAGTCTCAAATAGCTTTCAATCTAGTACAGGCATGCACCTATTTTTCACATCCCCATTGGGCCCTTGTTTCATTATCTGACATGGGTCCCCCACTTGATGCCACTGCTGCCACAGGCTCACATGAGCAAGCCTCCAGTGGCCTGGAAGCCTCCGCCTTCCTGTAATCATGAACGAGCCCGGGCTACCACAATCTTTCCGCCTCCTCTTCTGCAATCGTCCCTGAGCCAAGGGTGGGCGAAGTTTCATACAGGAGTCAGATCCTACACTCTACAGTCTCTTAGTCTCCAAAACCCAGCCAGATGTGGACTTCTGTGTGCATCACACTCTGATGCACAAAGGAGCCTCAATGGTGAAAGCCAAGGGGTGTATCAGCCCTCCCCCGACTTCCCAGTCTGGTATGTTCCATGGGCCTTAGTTGTAGATATTTCACTGCAGATGTGTCACCTAGTACTGGGCATCTCCAAGTCACATGTTCTCTCTGCCTGACCAGATGTGCAACTCTGCAGAAGCCTCAATCTGATGCAAAAAGAAGCTTCTTTGATGAGTGCTGTATGACATGCTTGTCACTCTAAGGGAGGCCTTTTCTACCTGGCACTGCATTCCTGCCAAACAGCTCCCAGGTATACATATAAATCAATGTTGAGACAGTTTATGTAAGTTT